GAGAAAAAGATGAATGTCCTTGCATGGCCTAGTCAGAGCCCAGACTTAAACCCCATTGAAAATCTGTGGAATGACTTGAAGACTGCAGTCCACAAACGCTCACCATCAAATTGAACTGAACTTGAGCAGAGAAGAGTGGGTAAATATTGCAAAGTTAGTAGAGACAAAGACATATCCCAACAGACTAAAGGCTGTAATTAAAGCAAAAGGTGGTTCAACAAAATACTGACACATTCTTTTCTATACCTACTCTATTCTATTTGTTTGACTCCAGTTAGTTAGTATTGTTAAAAGATCAGGGAGGCTTTTCAGTTTCATCAGCATAAGTTTATTAGAGTATTATACTGAGAACACAATGAAATTATGAGTTTATTAATTCAGTAAAATTTTGTGTTGATTCCATCACTGAAACAATATGTGGTTGTAACATTTAGAATAACTTAAAACAACTGATGTTAAAAAAAAAAAATCTATTTTTTGGCCCAAGTGGTGAACCTCAGGATCATATTATCGTCTCTCTGGGGTTGGTAGCAGCCAATTCCTGCAAAACATTGAGACATTCCAGAATCCAGAGTATAAATAATCTATATTTAAAAGGAAGCTATTTGTATTTTGTGCATTTGAAAACTATTTTGATTTAATTATTTTGTGTTATAAATTAAATCAAGATTAAGCCAAATTTCCTTTCCTGCACCACACCAATAAAATAATGTTATATGATTATCTTCATTCACGTACCCACTTCCAGTCGGGTTATAACTCCTGTTTTCTCAGACAGAAGCTCCCAGTATGTCTGATCCTTATCAGATCCAGCCAATCCGTTCACACTCTCCAGATATATGCCAAAGGTTTTATGAATAGTGTATGTGAATCTATTGTTGTATCAAAAATAAAGAATTAATCAGAATTGCACAAAAATTCAGTTCACAGTCTGCTTTCTAAATATGTAGTTAACCCTAAGCCTTTGCAATGAACTGACAAGACAACTGTTGAGTCAGGTATGACTGGAAAAACATCTCAGGCTTATCACAGATATAAGCCCCATTTCCCCATAATCTTATTCAGTCATTACATTACAAATGCTTTTGATTAAGTATGTCAGTCATCACAAGTAAGTTAATCACAACCAAAGTTAATCAGGTATACTCTTCTATACTGCAATCACAATACTCCATGTGAAGTGTACTAAACAAGTAAATTCAGTAAAAGTTTGTGGAGTACTTGAAACCGTCGTTGGTGTCCTACAGTTGATTTAAGACACCAAACATCAGCCCTTCCTCTACCACAGTGGTGGAGTAGGAGATCTGCTCATTAGTTAATTCATTAATGACAGTCACTCTAACGGGTACCTGTTCCAGCTTGCCTATTCGAGAGAGAGAGTGAGAGAGAGAGAGAGAGAGAGAGAGAACAGCATTATTTAGTTCAAATACATGCTGTAGTAATTTAGAGCATTAATAAATTTAATAACAAATAATGAGGTAATCTCTGATGAATTAACTTTTTGGTCTTTACTTGGTTTCTGTGGATAATAGTGTTTTCATAAAAGCTAACATAAGTATAATAAAATTCATACTTTTTTATACCTAGACCTGCAAGGAATTAAACTCAATCCTCACCTGAGCCTGCAGGCAGCCCCAACCCTGGGAAAGGCAGCAAAGCTGCAAAGCACAGAAGACTAATTGCTGTCAGAGCCATTCTACCAGTCTGCCCAATGTGTCTGAATGTCTCTCACAACCACACACTCCATTTATATTCTGGGTTTTCTTTGCATGCCAAATTCTAGAAAATAAATGATTAGTTTTATGGAGAGGCCTTATCTCTTACCTTAGAAAGGTGTGGTCTGCTAAAGGATTTTTGCCATGGATTACTTGATGCTTGTTTCTGAGAAATATTGAGTACAAACTCTGATAACATTGAAAGTAGAGAAATTATTTGGCAAGGACCCAGTGACCATATTTTGTCTTGTATGTTGTAAGATATGACATGTCAAATATGCTGTAGAGGGTGAGGATTATGTGGTTATGTTATCATTTACCACTGACCTCTCTTACCTCTTAAAAGTTAGTGTACTTTTCATTAATAAACATTAATTATTAACCATCACAAAATAACCTGACCACACAGTGGTGTGCAGGCGCTATCTTAAAGTATCTTGTGAGGAAGAAAGTCTCTGAGCAGTTATTCTCTTTATGTAATTATTTTATTTAATAATTTCTTAACCTGCCCAAATTCATTCATAACCTTTTAAAGATTGATTTGTAGATTATGTAAATGTCAGAATTCTTCCATCCATTAATCTCTATCTATCTATCTATCTATCTATCTATCTGTCTATCTGTCTGTCTGTCTGTCTGTCTATGTAGACATCTATCTGTCTGTCTTATAAATTATATATTCTGTCTGTCTGTCTATCTGTATATCTTAATTTACCTTCCCATATTATATTCAATTTAGCAGGACAATAAATGTATTTTTGCTGTAAAATATTGTAAGAATGTTTTTAGAAGTAAAAACGTTTTAATGTGTGGGCTATCTGTCTGTCTCTTTACATCCACATGAAGCTGTATTTCCCCTTTCAGCAAAAAATAATTGAAAAGATTCTTCAAAGCAATCACACATGCTGCAAGGTAAGCATTATTTCCCTCTCCATCCCCAACATAAGATTAGCCTAACGTAGAAACATTGAATATGATATTGAGCGAATCATAACAGCAACAGCATGTGTACTCGCCATGGATGATGTAGGGCGTCGTTTGAACGCGAGTTACCCCGTTGGTTTCACCGAGAATAACCCGAGCACTGCAGCATCAGCACCAGCAGCAGCCGATGCGCAGGTGCCGCCTTTAAAGAGACCGCGCGCTCAATTCTCCCGTGCTGCTGGTTAGGCTGTAATTTCCCTTTGTTTTTCGTCTCCATCATCTCCATCCCCACCCGTGCCTTTGCTCCCCCCCCCCAAAGCAATGTCATAGACAAGGGGTTCTAAAAATAGATGTTACATACGTTTCCATCCTCCTGCTCCACTAAAATAAGAAAACAGCCCTGTTGCTGTAAATCGCGAAAGCAGACTAGTAGGCACTAGACTAGTGACTTTTCTCTTGGATCAAGGGAAAGTTGAGATCCCCACCTGTCTGGTTAACATAAGATGGCACCAGGCCAGTCCTGCTCTCACTTTCCTGCAGAGGGGTTTGTAATGTAATCCACCACACAACATCAGCCCAGTAAGCCGTGGCTTGTGCGTCTGCCATCACAAATAAACAACACATTTTTAGCCTTAGAACAATTGAAAAAAAAAAGTAGCACTGGGATGAATAAATTGCCTGGACTTCCGCACTGCAAAAAATATCAGTAAAAAAATTAATTAATATCGGTTACAGTTAGTGACATTGTTACACAAAGTAAAAAAGCCTATATTATTAAGAAAATTATATTTACATTTCATTGTAAAATACTGTAAGAGTAAAAAGAAGGCCTATGAATATTATTTACAGAAAATAGCCTATTCATCGAGATAATGCGTATAGGCTACTTTATAGCTAATAACCAAGGCTACAAGTAGTTAGAGATTTAAATATTGTCGTAATATTAGGCCTATATATACTCATACAGTTATCAGCGCAAATTATGCCGAAATGTCGCCTAACATCACCATTGTATTTTTTTCGTGACATTTTTAGCAACAGTTGCCAGAATTAACCATAAATGTACCCAGAACAATTTACAGTGCAGAATCTTGCTGTTATTTTTAAAATGTAACCCCCCAAACACAAGCAAAGTATCATAACGTAAGTAACCAAATCACTGCTACTTTAATCGTCCTCCAGTGTGTAACATGGGCTTATTTCGGACGAGAGCTGTTACGCCCAGTACCACACACCGCCAGGCGTGCCAGGGCTCCTCTGTCCACTGTGCGCTATATCACACTGCGGTGCAGCATCCGGAGGACCGCGCAGGACGAGCACAACTCCTCTCTACACAGCCCCATACGCATACTGGATGACTGTAAATGCGCAATGATCGAGTCACGGTTTGCCCTTCTGTCAGCTGTCCGAAATGAAACTCCTGGTTTAACACGGATGCTGCTGCATCTGTTTAATTATTCATAACTGTTATGCTTGTTTTGGATAGGAATTGTCACAGTATATTTTCAAGGAACGATATGAATGTGTCGTGTAGCGGCTTTCTTAAGGAGAAGAGCATCCTCTCCGTCACCGGTGAGCGGGATCGGGCGTATAACGGAGCATCTTTATTCTCAGCTGGACTATAGAGCGGGGCTATAGAGCGGGGCCGCTCCTGTTGCTGAAGCCTGTGTGTGTACATATGATGCTCTTGAGCTCTAAGGAATGAATTGGACATTTTTATAAGGAAACACGCTGCCAGGGAGACGTTTGATCAACTCGACGCGTCAAAAAAAGTAGGTACCTATTCTGAGTCTTGGTGAAACAACACATATTGAAGGTCTCCAGTATAAACACACTTGCCTGTGCATGAGTGTGATGTCATTGACAGGGCATGTGATGCATATTATTCTAAACACTGACTCACCATAAATTCACCATAAAATATCTAGGTAGAGTGCATGTGTAATGAATGTGAAAGGTTTCATTTTAGCTTCTGTCTCATATACATTTCTTTATATATGAAAATATTGTTACCATAATTGCTCATTGTATATTCTGTCTTATATCTGTTCTGGGAAGTGGATTAAATGAAGGGAGATGATCTGATCTCTGACAGATCATAGAACAGCCAGACTGGGTTTTAAAGGGTTTTCATTACTGCTTCTCAATCCTCAACACTGCACATTTTGGATTTTTTTTTCTCATTTAACAGCTGACTGATATCATCCTAACAGCCTAATGAGGCTCCAATACCCAAACTGGATGTGTCAGATAAGGGAGACATTTAAAATGTGTCATTCTGAGGTATTTCAGAACCTGGATTGAAATACAGTGCTCAAAAAACATGGCCTTTCTTTGACTGATCAGAAAAGACTAGGCAGTGTTTCATTAACTGCGGTCAATAGAGCTATATAAGTGACATAATCTGTAATATGCCTCACTATGTAGTTCTCACTTTATAGAAATGTATATCTCCCAACCTGGTCTGGTTTAAGAGGTGTTTTGGGCAGTTTGTCCAGGGACCATCTTAAACCAGTTAAGACCAGCAGTCTAGCTTAGGGATAGATCCAATTGAAATTATTGTATTTTTGAAATTATTTTTAAATAAAGTTTTAAGGACATCTCTCTTGAAGATGAATCACTTGAATATAAATGGGGACATTGAGGATCAAGTGCAGGTCCATCAATCACAGTGAAATGTAGCTTTTTTAGATTCTCCAGTCCCTGGTCTTGTGCCTTGAGTCATAATGGACAATAAACTGAGCACTTCTTAATGGAATATACCATATTGACATACAAGTACTTTAACCATATAAATTGCTAGCTGGCAACAGTGAAAACATTGGTTCTTTAGAGAGGCAGGGTTCTATCAAGCACAGCACCCGGAACTGGTTGAGACGCTTCTGCAGCCTAAGTGCATTCTCATTGACGTGAAATACAATAACTCATATGGATTCCACATTCGCATTGCTGTCAGTACTGTTTGTACCTCTGTAGCTCGGTGCAATGTTTTTCAGCGTCAGTGTCATTGAATCTGAGGTGTGATTTTTTATTAAATGCTGATATGACTACATTTAAAAGTCTGATATTGTTGCAGAAATGCATTTGCGTACTGCATTCTATGTAATCCAGTTCTTTTACGCTGTGGACTAATCAGTTACACTCTTAAAAATAAAGATCTTTATTGGCATCTGGTTCCGTGAAGAACCTTAAACATCCGTAGAAACTTTCTGCTGCACAAAAAGGTTCTTTTTAGTGGAAAAGGGTTCTTTAGACTATTAAAATGTTCTTTACACTAAGAAAAGCTGGTTCTTTTAAGAATTGTTCACTGAAAGGTTCTTTGGGGAACTCAACATGGTTCTTCTGGCATCACTGCAAAACCCCCCCTTTGGAACTGTTATATTTAAGAGTGTTTGATCTATAATCGCCTTCTGTATTCAAACAATATTTTACTTGCTTTAATTAACTTCAAGCCCTGTTTTTTGTCCGTATTATTCACTATATTTTAGAATGCACTTTTTTTGTGTACACTGTGTGTGTGTGTGTGTGTGTGTGTACTGGTTTATATATCCTGGTGGGGACTTAAACCTGACTACACACAGACTCATGGGGACTCGTGTCTCGAGTTTTTTGAAAATCTAAAAATGCAGAAAGTCTCCTGTGAGGGGTAGGTTTAGGGGTAGCGTTGGTGTAGGGCAATAGAATATACGGTCTGTACAGTAGAAAAACCATTACGCCTATGGAGAGTCCCCACAAGGATAGCTAACCAGACATGTGTGTGTGTGTGTGTGTGTGTGGCATTTTTCATATTCTGTGTCACTCAGAAAGTAAATGTGAATCAGCACTATACTGTTGTCAGGTTGTAATCGGATCTTTACTCCTCACAACAGTTCTGGAATTACAACCTCAGCCTTCCCACATCCAGCAGAAAAATTTGAGAATCCAACTAAATCTGTCAGAGCTTTCATCAAAATTAGAGGGTAATTCTATAAAAATCATATTAGATTATGTAAATATTAATAAAGCATAGCGCAGCTTCAGGAAAGCTCTGCATTTCTATCAAAAGCTACAAAAATACTAATATAAGAGATGCTCGACCCATTGCTCAGCTGTATTCTTGTCAGCTTGTTTGTTGAGAGCTTCCCCCGCAAAAGTGAAAAAAGGTTTCCATCAAAGCTTCAAATGCTGGCATCAAATTCCATAGGCTAGGGTAATTACTCTACTAACTGAAACTGTCTCCAAATGCATAACTCTGAGCAGATGCTTCCTTTCTTACTGATTTTATGCTCAAAACAACATCTTTCTAGATGGTCTGGGGATAATATAGCTGAAACTGAAAGTGACGTGACGTGTGGCCAAGTATGGTGTCCCATACTCAGAATTTGTGCTCTGAATTTATCCACAGCAGTAAGTAGGGAACACACACACCGTGAACACACACCTGGAGCAGTTGGGGGTTTGGTGCCTTGCTCAAGGGTCTCATCTCAGTCGTGGTATTGAAGGTGGAAGAGAGCACTGTTCATTCACTCCCCCCACCTACAATTCCTGCCGGTACAGAGGCTCGAACCCGCAACCTTTTGGTTAAAAGTCTTTGACTCTCTAACCATTAGGTCCCTATAGTTAGTGTCCTAATGCCATTCAACTGACCTAACTTAAAAACTTCATTAAAACAGAATGTAATATGGTTAGAATGAATCAATGTTCATACAGAATGATGACTACCATTATTCATCTGAGTTTCCTTTCAAAAGGCAGAATGATTTTGTTACCTTTCTGTTCCTCCTTTTCTCTGAGCTCTAGCACAACCTCGTATATGTATCACTGACTCAAATAGGAGCATGAAATTACACACCACTTATCAAAGACATATTCTCCCTTGCAAGTGTGTGTGTGTATGTGTGAACTGATTGCATTGAGGTAGATTTGATTGCAGATAGTAGTTTTGCGATTAAGTATTCCTATGCTTCTGTACAAATGTTCCATTATTACACATTATAACCATTTTCTAATTTTTGCATCCTCCCACATTTCCCAGGCTCTTGGTATGGCTGCAAAGTCCTTAGAGCCGGGGTCTGTTTCCATTCCCATGGAGGAGACCAAGCGTGCAGGTGGCGCCCTTCCAGATGCTGCCATGCTGACCCACCTGAAGAAGGTGGAGAACCATATCACAGAGGCACAGAGGTTTTCTCACCTGCCTCGGCGTTCAACAGTGGACTTGGAGTTTACAGAGATCTCCTACACCATCCGTGAGGGCCCCTGTTGGAGGAGGCGAGGTAATACATGAATCCTCATGATGAAGCTTATGTGGTGATTACAGTAAGGTGAAGCTTAAACTTGGAAGCATAACTGAAAATAAGTGATTATAGAATTGATATAATTTTTGTTTTCCAGGTAGTAGTAGTTTACAAAACGTACCTGTGAGATTTCTATTGTGTCAGAAATCAATACAATTATGTTCCTTTTACTGCCTATACAAGTGATCCAGTGATTTACTGTATTTATCACTTCCAACCCTTTCCAGATATGATAAACTACCAAAAACAGGAACTAAAATTATGCAACAAATCAAACATAAAACACTGCACTGACAAAAACTTATTTATGTGGTTGTCTGCTACTAAACATTCATAATGTCAGAAATCAAGATACTGTTAGTAAATTAAATATATTACATGGCTCTCTGGGATACTCAAGTCTGATTGGTCGATTGCTGCTCTCAGTTGTCACATCACAGTCGTCCATGGCAATTGCCAGCTCATCCAGGTTATAAAACTGCTACTTTCATACCGTGGATTTGCACACTCTGGTTTCATACAAATGTCAAGTTGCATCTCAGTTATATCTCAACTGTAATTTTAAAATGGCTTTTAAAGAATTTTGTTGTAGTCGGCACCAATAGCCTCATGGTTAGTGTGCCGACATACAGACCAACTGTGCCCGCAGCAGCCCGAGTTTGATTCCCATCTCGAGGTCCCTTGCCGATCCCGCTGCCCTCTAAATATAACATAAAACATAATTTTATTGTAATATTGTTGCAGTGTTCTTCTTGTTGCTAGTTTGTGGATTGTAATGGACTACTGTTTTCTAAGAGTAAGCTTTTATATAATGTACAGTTAAGGTTATAAAATAATTTTAACTCAGATTAATATTTCACATCCTCTTTTTTTTATTTGTTTGGTGAGTAGGCACGTCAGAGTCACGATGACCCTGCCGGGTTTATTTTGCTATATTGACCAGATAGCTATACGTAATCTCTTATCACTCCAAACTCACTACACACAAACACACATATGTACGCACAAGTACACATATACACAGGCGTAATACTATTAGCCCCTCACACACTCCATCCTGTGTCCTGGACTGTAGAGTGCTATTCTCAGCAGACTTAAGATATAGTAAATAATTCACTTCCCCAGACGGCACGCTACTCAGCAGTCTGCTGCCTAGCCTAGCTAAACCTGCCCAGGATGAAATCAGCCCACACACGAATGCTAACACACACTTTATTGATAAGGACTCAAACGCAAAATGAGTGATAATGGGTTTATTTACAAAACTACAGACAAGACAAGAGAAGGTATGGAGGGGGTGCACAGTCCAAACAATAAGCAGGGATGAGGCTCAAACACCGGCAGGCTGAGAGAGTGACCGCTGAGTCCAGCCCAAGATGACAGTAGGCCAGTGAGCAGTAACGGCAGGGCAGAGCGAGATCGGTGGATAGCAGTGAAGGTCTGGCAGGGACACACACTTAGCACAAGAACCTAAACACTCATGGTCTCTAACTAAAGATAAAGCAAAGAACACTAGAGAAGAAAACTAAACTACAGCAAGGATACACAGGGACAGTAGACTGAACAAAACAAGACCAGAATTAGCAGGTAGAACTACAAATATCTTACTACAGACTTTTAGCAACAAGGAAGAACACAGCAACACAATGTATAACAAACTGGCAAAACATGAGGGAAAGAAAGCACAATATAAAGGGAGTGGAGAACATAAGGGAACAGGTGACAACACTCAGACAAACAAGGGGGCGTGGTAATTGGAAACAAGGAGGAAAACACAAAGACAGAGAACACAACACAAACAAAACACATAAAACAAAGACAAGACAGACAGAACCGTCAGGGGAGAACCCTCACAGTACATGGTGTTTTTTTGCTAAGAGATAGATAAGATAAGAGAGAGAACTGGCTATCAGCAGTAGTATATCCATTAATATCATACGATTGCTCAGTTGACACACCTTGGAAAGCTACATGGAGAACTATGCAGAATTTTAACATATAGCTAAGGACAAGATGAGGAGCAATGTATGATTGCAGGAGAAATTATTTGTGCTTAAATGCTCTTAGGGAGCTTTGGGTGTATGTGCCTCAATGGTCTGGAAATGGGCTCATGGACATTATTCATTTTCAACTTTATGTAACTTTTTTATTTTTATTATTGCTATCTATTTTACCAGCTCATGGGACTTCAGTACATACCAGAGAAATCTCATAATGTCTTTGCCTTCTCCTGTCTGTCTTTCTCCCTCTCTAACTGCTCCATGTATTTTATCCAGTAAGCAGCATGGAGAAGCTGGTGCAGTGCTGTTAATGCTGGTGAATGATGGCTATTGCACGCACAGCAGCTTCTATAGCTTCAAGTCCTAAAGCATGCTGAGCTCCACCCACACATACCCGCATATTCACACACACACGCGGCACAAACCAAGCACACATGCACGACAGATGTGTCATAAAGTCTCGCAGTTGCACACGTGCCATTACTAAATGGAAGAGGGTGAATCATACAGTGGTGATCTCTATAACACTGATAGCAAGCCACTCCTGAGACTCGTATATGTTCCTTATGTTTAAATGGTGTACCTCATTATGCTGTTCATGAGTTAGCACCTCATACATTACTATGCCATTCTTTCATTATTACCTCATACTTCATTATACAGTCCCGCCGGTATTCCATCTGTTGAGAAACAAGCTCTTTCGTGTGTAGTTTAAGTATTAGCATTTTTAGATGTATGATTTCAGTCTATGTGGCTTTTGAGACAGAGAGAGAGAGAGAGAGAAAGAGAGAAATGTTGGGTATGTTGGGTTTTGAATGCTGTTCCAGCTAGCTACTACCTTAACCAGCAAGACTTCTTGCCTCAACTACCTTTAGCAAAAACACCATGCTGGTCATCTAGCATTTTTTTTTTTTAGCTTTTAAACAGCATGACTGTTCTGGTCCACCAGTATAAACCAGCCTGAACCTGCATGGAAATTTATATGAATTGATCATTTTATAAATACCGCAAAGGCAAATGTATTTGCTTGCTTTTACATGGTGATCCAGGTTTATCCTGTATCAGGGACGTGCACAGACATTTTGAGGGGCAGGGGCTCAAATGGAAAAAAGGGCACTTCTCATATTTATTTAAAAAAAAATTCTAATCAGAACGTTAAATATATTAGGGGTGTGCGATATTGACAAAAAATATATCTCAATATTTTCTGGGATTTTATTGATAACGATAATTAGATGATATTTTGCTGAGTGTGTTATTGTGCTGATATCTTAAAGGGGTCATATGATGCTAC